AATCCAGCTTCCCGGGTGATTTCAGCAAAGCGTGTACTTGTCACAACTTCCAGACTGCAAACCATAGGTCGATTGTACTAACCAATCAGAAACCGTGCGGCCCAAACGGAAGCTGAAAAACGCCAGAAATACTAGCGCGCGACTGGCAGAGGCTTAGATGACCAATGAACTTGTTTTATACATATTATTTAATCCTCCTGATTTCTTTTAATAAAAGAACTGCTATTCCTTTGGCTTTTTTACTCGTGCCTTACTTCCGTGGGATACTGTGTGCAAGTACCAACGTGATCCATCGCTTATGTTTCTTCCGTGATTGCTAGTCCGTGATTTCTAACTTGTGATTCGTATCTCGTGATCCGCAATGCCCGTGAGCAATAGTCGATCTGTCATTCCTGCATATGTGCTGCGATTATGATTCCAGTCTGGTTTGGATCCAGGCCTGTACAGTTTGGGTTAAGTGAATCATAACCGTCTCAACTGGGCTATCTGCTGTGTTACGCGTCACCGCTCAATTGTGCTCCAAATTTATGGAGAAAGAATGCCAAAACGGAATGGACGATTTCTGGTAGGCTGAATTACTTTGCGGACCAGCTGGATTGATGAAGCTGTAAACCTTTGGTTGTTACAGTACAGACAGAATCGATCGCTGGACCACGCTAGTCGACATACATGAGTCATGACGCATCCGATGGAAATCCTTGGTGTGGTACACACAACGCGCACACAGAGACCGCTTATACTTGATTGGTTAATTTTCAATTGACTGCCAATACCGGGCTGTGGTATTCCAATTGCGTAGGTAATTAACCACGCAGTGAACTATGCAGTACGTTCATTGTAGTAGGCAAGCTTGTAGCCGGTCCGTAGGCCGGAGAGGCAGCAGGAACGCAAACACGTAGGCAGATGGACAGGCCAACATTAGCTCAAGCGTCACATGACATCCGAATGCCGTCACGCAAGCATTCAAATGGTCAACGAATCAATCAACGCGGACAGTCCAATACTAACAGCTGATTGGCCGGAGTCTATCGATATTGTGATAGAATTAGTCCGTATGAGGTGCGTGCGTGCGTGGGTGTGGGCAGCATCCGATTATTCAACAGGATAATATGGGTAGATCAACAAGACCGGACCACAGAAATTTTAATATTACGTATAATAATAATAACAATAATAATATTTATGCTTCAATGTTGAATACATTTAAAATATATCTTTTCATGAGTCACATTTATGAGTGTGAGAGTTTTTTGCATGGTCGCGTGATTGGAATGACTCGAATGAAACAGTGACAACCACATTCATGGCCGGTGGAAAAGTGAATTGGGTCACTTGTACAAACAATATGAACTAAACCGTGTACTCTGAAGGTTACCGAGCTAGTCGCTATTCCGATTTGGTGGGCTGTGATCATTTTGTCTTCACAATTTGTGGTACACTGGCCAGTGATGCTATACCACACATATTGTTTCTGTTACGAGCCATACGGATGTAGCCATCCTCGCCCCAGCTCGAACCCCAACTATTTTTGACAATCCAGTACGGAGTTCCACCTTCACTGTTGTAACCAACCACGAGGACGGCGTGATTTAGCAATCTTTTGGAACATTTCGTGGAAGTATATATACCAGTCCTGAAAGGAAGGAAACCAAAGATTATAGACGATGCAAACGGGTTAAAATACTCTACTACTAAGGTAAAGAAAACATTATTTTTTGATGCATACATTATAGAACATAGTTACATTTCATCGATAAACAAAATCGAACTCTCAATACCATTTGGGGAGTAAGTTGCGATGTTATGATTACTTTCTGGAAATATTGGCTAAATTCGGTTCGGTGACCGATCAACAATACCTGAGTCTTCTTAGAACCTTTGGTTGCACCACCAGATATTTGTTACTGCCTTTCTTCTAATATTACCTGCGGAACGCATCGTTGGTGTACGTTGTTCAAGTATGATGTTACTTTCTCACTGACCTGATTCATGTGATGACGGAAACGCGTTTTAAACAGGGACTGTTCTCCGGGCTTGCGTTCAAGACACGAAACCTCACATCGCTACACAATTTGTTTTACTGTTCACAGGTTCGTAGCAGTTCGGTTCGGTACCATGCCTAAAATTTAGGGGACTTATTTGGTTCACCGCTTCAAGTTTCAAATCTAGAGTCGTCAAACGTCATGGACGAATAGCCATCATCATCATAATCATCATCATCCGAGTCATCATCATCATTACTTTTAAGTGCCAGAATTCGATTCCCAAGCATTCGACTAGATCCTCAATGTGGATATTTACGACATGATCGTTGCAATGTCGATAGTTCCGGCTTTCCAGTTCCATTTTTCGTAGCCTTGATACAGCTCCGCAGTGGTAACGCACACGCCTTCCATGCAATGGGAGCTCAAATCCCGAACAGGACGGTGGATATGCACGACTGATGAGCTCCAATAAGAGCGAAACTCGAGTTTAGTGCTCTCGAGTGTATGGTTGAATCGATGAACTAAGGATTGTGCGTGAAGGTGAAGTCCGAAGGATAGTCAGCTCAAATTATTAAAAACCAATTATCTCACATCACTACTCACAAGTAACTTTGAGTCAAACTTGAAATTAATATATTTTACTCTTCTGTGTTATGCTAAACGCTTTTTTCCGCAATGCGCACTATGTTGAGATGCAGCGACATCGTCCTGTACATAAATCACGCAGTTTTTTGTGATATGGTTGACTTCTTCGAAGCACAAAGTATGCTACTGAGGAATAATGGCTTTGTTCACAGGTAAGTTGTATTTGTTACTTATACGAAAAGTTGAATTTTGGACTAACCTGAATTTCCGCACTTGTCCATGAATCGAGACTAGTTGATTAAAAAGTGACAAATACTTGTAGAATACAGTGATAAACACAAACAACACACACACACAATCATATCAGTCACTATGCATTATACTGTTACATAACCGTTAATGGTTGAAATACTGCAAAACTAATCAAAGAATTCGAAATGTGTTGTGCGTTTGGAAATATCCAGGCCTACGTGATGACGTCTACCCTGGAGCGGCGCGTTACAGTTTCTGGACACCTGCGATCAACCAAATATGAAATGCCACTTCAATGACGCGCGTACGGCTTCTGACTATACATCATTGGTAGATAGCACCAGCCAATCCGAAACAGTGCAGGCAGAAGCAGAATTATGCAAACAGTATTGCAATCCGATTAGTGGCAGCCTAGATCACAAATGATCTTCTTTTATTTAATCCACTTCATTCCTTCCAACAAACGAAATACGAAATACCATTCTTCTAACCTTTTCCTCGCGTCTCGTTCAAATGCGATATTACGAGCTCGTGCCCTTGTGGTCCAGTGCTTCCGTGATCTAGTACGTGATAGCTGATCCCTGATTCGTGTCCCGTGATTCCCATTGCGTGGTTCGTGTGTCGATATCCGTGTGTACTACTACTATTACTACTACTAATACTACTATTACCACTATTGATTTATTTTCCAAAGGTAATCGTATTTTGGAGAAGGGAAACTCCCTTGAAACTCCTCCCTCCTCCGTTCAATGTCTACCTAAATTCGTAGAAAGGCCTTCTTGACAGTAGAAGGTGTTTCTAATTAACTGAAAATTTGATAAAAATCGATAAAAATTGTTTCGGTAAAGTGTAGACCTACAAAGGAACTGTGATATAAACACCAGATTTGTTTTATTTGTGACCTTTTCGAAAAGTTTACTGGTTTCAGGGTGGACTTTGAAACTTGCGTGTGTGCGAACTCGAGGATTATTACTTCGGGAAGATTTTCGTTGTGCTTTTGAACGCATGAAATCAAACAATGATTAAAAATGGTGTACGTGTCCGTTGATGATATGTGTGGGAGTCGCATAGATGATGTTCAATGGTTTGGATTTTCTACACAAATGTATCCTCAGGATACTGATGCATTTTGGAACTAGCTACTGACAACTATCCAAGTAGTTCATTGCTGAATACGGTTCGTCTAAGTTTGAAAAGAATTACGAAGGTCATTGAAGATTTTCCTCCCGCACGGTGTTTGCTTAGAACACAAATACATCTTTGCTCAGCCAAATGAAATGCTGTGTGTCATTTCTTCTAACCCTGACTAATCAAAGTTCAGAACACAAGTCCGCAGGCGAAAAATCGTTTTCAAATGTTTTAGAGTCGTTCGAGTCCTGACAGGGACACAAAAAAGTATGCACAGCTGACGAGTCCCAAACAGGACGAAACACTTTTCCAGTACTCTATGCCGGTTATCACAAACATTTTCATCACATGTAGATTCATAATCGTGCCTGTACATATCATATAATGGGTCGTTGTTAGTGGGGTCACTTCACGTTGGGCTAAAAGGTCATTTGAGATAGGGAGATGGGAGGGGTGTCCTACATCTGTGTTTGGTCGAGATCGATCTTGATTGGAGTATGGTGGTGATGATAGTGATGTTGGTGATCACTTTGGGGTCAGGATAAGTGGAAAGCCTGAACTAGTAAAGCTTTTTTGCGCATAGTGCGAACACGTAAACGCCCCAGCGGTGGCTGCTTTGTTTGAGTGCATTACCTTAGAGGGGTCGGAGGCACAAGATAGAATGCGGAATGCGGATTCTACTCTGATTTACTCCCTCCGATGCAACGGTACGGTGAGCCAACTGTCTCAGCGGATGAAGGAACACTGTCCACACTGGTTAGGGCGCGGAAGCACAAGGAGCATAAGAAGCGTAATTCTCGGACATCTAGTGGTTTCAGACCACAAAATTAGATCGGAATCCGTGTTCGGCGTAATCTATTGTGTATCAGCCAATTCCTCTAAGGCACTATACCTACACATACCAGCCACCACTAAGGTGATAGGTATCTCTGTTTTTCTACTTCCTTTTATTGATAATACGAAGTACAATTTTCAGGTAGGGGGGAAGCGGCCAAAAAAAGGCTTCCATAGAACACACTGGGATTGGAGAAGTTAGGCAGTAGTGGTGGGATTCGAACACGCGTCGTCCGGGCTGATAACTTGGTATTGTTGCTACCGGGCCACCATTGCCCGGAATTCACTCTTTCGCACCAGAACTATATGCACAAAAGCTACTGGTCCAGGCTGTCCACGTACCCTGACCCCAAAGTGATCACCAACATCACCAATCACAATAGATCTCAACAAAAAGCAAACAGCGTTCACCCCACCTCTCTTCTCCTCTCTCCAGAATAACTTTTCGGTCCGACGTGGAAAACTATCTTCACCACCAACAACAAACCCTTATATGGTCTGTACAGACACGATTCTGAATCATTCGAAAACAATCGTTCGCCTTCGAATTTCTGTTCTACTGTTACAATAGGTTTATGTGTGAAGTTCAAACAATTGGAATTTATTTGTCATTCTCGTGCGGAGATACTCACAGATGATAAAAAAATATATCTACAGGAAAACTAATCAATCACATAAACCGGTCGGGAACTTGGAGGATTGAACCATACCAGACCCTGATGGAATGAGGGAGATGTTGATAATTCATTGAAAATCGGTTCTCGTAGCTCGGATGCAATGAATTCGGTGTCACCCGTTCGCTCTGAGTCGGGCAGTTTGTTTGCAAACGTTTCATCATCAGTATTGATGATGTCACCTCAGCTGGTAATAAAAACATTTGTAAACAAATTGCCAAGCTCGGCGAACAGGCGAAATGGAATGATGAATATATCTACGATACAGCGTATGAGTTTTGTTTGCGAGATCCGAATATCCCAATTCGAGGATCGGTGAGCAACATTAATATTCATCGAGATCACACGATAGTCATCATGATGTATGTGTATATTTACATTTGTATCTAATTATTTGATTTGGTACTACGAAACTAGATAAATTATCTTCTATTTAGAATGAAAATTTTGCATTTACCCGTTCAGTAATAATATAATCGAAAAAAGATTCAATTCTTTTTTATTCATGATTCAAATAATCTAGTTAGTGACACAAAAATATCCATTTGTGGTCCACATCAGGAACAACGTGTTTTTCATCTATTCTTTGATGGGAGATGAGTTCTAATGAAAAAATAACAGAAATAAACAATTGCAACCAATCGAATCCCATTTCTGAACAAGTCCAATCGATGAAACAAGAGCCAATATCACTCACACTCAAACGGAATGGCAAGTTGTCAAGGTCGTTAAACTATCCCTCTCCACGAAAGAACACTGTCCTCAGTGTTCCGGAGCCCGGTGTTACGGGATGAGTGCATCTTGGCAGGCTCACCAAATCTGTGAGTTGCTTGTGTGGCAAGATGTCCTCCGTGAACGGATACACCAAGCAACCGCAAGTGGGCCGAGTCTACGTGTGGGCTGGAACTGTCAACAGACAGGATGTTCTTCATGGAGAGGGATTGAGGTACGTCCGTTTTGAAGTTCATTACTCTCAGTCTGAAGTTGCGTTTGCACAGGTTCTCGTCTGTTGGGTACGGTTTTAGCTCTGTGTTTCTGTGCAGTGCTAACCGTGTGCTTCTTCAGTTGTTGACTACCACTGGAAATGGCACTCAGACAAAATTGATTGGTCAATTCGTGCAAGCCATGGTGTGAGTCAGTGGGTAGATGGATCTGCACTGCACGGACGAGATCCAACCGGTTGGAAACAGCTGTCCAGTTGTGCTTCCTAGCTTTTCAGCTCACGCTTCATTTGCTACATACAAGGACTTTGAACTGAATTAAACCCTCCATTACTCACTCACAAGAAAGCTAGTGGTCAAAAGTCAGAAGCGTCGACAAGATGACCTATCACAAACAGCACGACTTGCCACAAACTGGTGACCTAATGAACCAGCAAAACGATCAAATAAAGAAAATGGACGATAAAACACGGCCCGAATAAACAATGTGCACCATTATTCAATGAATGCCTTACATGCTCATTGGTTCCCCAAAAGGATTAACAATATTAGGGAATCTAGACTAATTTTCAATGGCAAAGTTTTATTCAAAGCACAAAGTATATTCAAATAGAACAACCATGCTGAACGGATTAGAAAGAACAAAAATTGAGCAGAACAACAATGTGGCGAACAAGCTCATTTTCCCTTATCAGTACTTATGTCATTACATGCCATTTTCATAGTTATGTCCCTCTTCAGATAAAGAGAAGTCTAATTGGTTCTCTGGTTCAAAGAGCGAAGAAATTACGCACGGCGGACACCATCGATAGGGCAATGCTAGAACACGAGGAACAGCCAAAAGAAATAGGAGCAGCGAAGAAGTCTATCTATGTGCATCTGTCGTTCAAGGGAGATACGGAGGCAGAAATCTTTCAAAGAAAGCTCACAAGTGCCGCAAGCAGAAAATTTTGCGCTGCACAAATGAATGTTGTGTTCACATCTAAATTGANATTATATTTCAGACTGAAAGATAACAGAATGCCAGATTTTTCAGCCTCATACTGTATTTACTCATTCACCTGTTCTCGTGGATCTGGATACGACCAGGCACCTATCCGATCTCGTTTGTGAACACCACCCGGGCTCGACTGAGGGCAGTAACAATTGAGACAATTATGAGCGCGGTGTGTTTGCATCTCGTTGAGTCAACTTACTCGGTGGATGCGGCAAGCGGGTTCCTACCGATTTACAAGTTTTGATGTAGGCCATCAAGAACACTGAAGCATCGTGCCTCAGTCACGGCCGAAGCCGTAAGTATTCGGATTCACAACACACACACACACACACACCCTTGGGTACCCAGAAGAAATTTATGCTAACATATAATCTCCCTTGGCCCACTTCATTCACCCCAACAGGTGTGCAATCACTTGCACTTCAGACATTGTGATCGATTTCACTCAAGCACCCATGCACGTATAATTGGAACCAAATCTGAACCATTTAGACTTGAATTTCTCAATCCCCTGTTTGTTCTCGTTGTTAGTCTTATTCAATGGCATGCAATGGAATGATTACAAACAAACTGAAATCCAGCTTGTTTGCTGCGCTGTTGTTGTCGTTATTGTTGTTGTTATTATTATTCTCAGCGTGTGAGGTTGATTCAAAAAACCATTCTATTCACAGAATAATCCTAGCGCGAATCATACTAGATAAAATACTCGATCGTAGAAATTGATTTTTGTCAGTGACAGTTATTCCGCAGCTTCTGTGTGCCCATTCCGATAAGCAAACAAACAAACACACACACACACGCAACCACAGGGACGCTTACCTGTAGAACTGGAACCCGTCATCCGCGTCTATTCCCACGGCTATTGGCCCGAATTCTGCGACCATATTCATCAAACCGGTCTCGCTACCGTTGGTCAAAGTCCTGAAGGATTGTACTTTAACCACGCCAAGTGTGGGTTTTGTCGAGCATCTGGTGTCCTAAATAATCCGACCAGAAATCAAGTGAGTTGAGTGGTTCGTCTTACTTATCTGCTGGCACTGGTTCAACAAAGTGGAGAAATAACTGACTAGATGGAAAAGCTTGATGTAACAACTGTGTGTGACAGTTAGAAAAGTGGTAGGGATTTATTAAATAAGGCTTTCAGGAATGCACCTTACACCACAAAGGGCGATCTACCAGGGTACACTGAACGTGAAAGTTTTGTTTTCGAATATGAAAGGGAAAATGGATTCAATTACGTGTTTGGTTGTCATGATGTGCTTTCCAAATGATGATGCCCCGGGGTTATGTATGATCGCCTGATTACTGAGTGTGGGTTGTCTCATCGACTTCACCAACCACTTTGGAATGTGTTCGGTCATCCGTTGTGATAATTGGCGATTAGTTCTGCCTATGTGTATGCATCACCGCAACTGCAGCTGAACTGGTATACAGTGTGTGTGAGACAGAACTGGATCTCCAACCATGCACACATTTGTTCAAATCGAGTCCACGAGTAGAGGCAATAAGTTGAAGTTGAACAGCTGGGAGTGTGCGGTTCAGAGTTGACTTTTACTTTTGACGCACATCGTTCAGGAGGGGATTGCCCTTAAAGGATAGTTTGATGTAAACGGCTTTCTGGGGAACAGCTGGCAATGAGTTACTTATTTTAGATTGTTTTCTACGAATATCAATGAATCTTTCGGGGGTAACCGTTTCGTAGCAACATTTTCTTTAGGAATTTTTCTTCTTTTTCTCGTAGTATGTGCCGGGAACAAATGTTTCTGGCTCGATGGAAAAGTTGTTTGCGAATCCATGTTTGTAAGGCATGGGTGAGAAGCTAGAGCAATGTAGATACTGACCACGTCATGTTGATTTTCGGTGGATAGAAGGCTATAACGTGCCACTGAGCGCCTCGTAATTCTAATTCAAAAATGCTACAGAATCGTTAGTTTGTTCTTTATGGGATGCGGATGAGCAGGGTTGAATCGTTTCAAAAGGAATTCAAAATGTTCACCCACGGCTTACAGCCGGGGAGCCTGAAACAATTGTTCCCCAGACACATCACGAGAAAAAGAAGAAAAATTCCTAAAGAAAATGTTGCTACGAAACGGTTACCCCCGAAAGATTCATTGATATTCGTAGAAAACAATCTAAAATAAGTAACTCATTGCCAGCTGTTCCCCAGAAAGCCGTTTACACCAAACTATCCTTTAAGAGCAATCCCCTTTTGAGCGATGTGTGTCAAAAGTTAAAGTCAACTCTGAACCGCACACTCCCAGCTGTTCAACTTCGACTTATTGCCTCTACTCGTGGACTCGATTTGAACAAATGTGTGCATGGTTGGAGATCCAGTTCTGTCTCAAACACTGTTTTTGAATTTGTATAAAAGGGCTTCTGGAATGAACACACACTGTCCACAATACGACATGGGCATCGGGACTTTGGTAATGTTTGGTACTTTGAGCTATTTCATGAATTCCGCCTTGACTTACTGAACGGTGCGGACGATATGCAAATCGTCCATAGAAATGTGTGAGAACAGATTACGGAACGGTTGGTTGGTTGGTTGGAATAATACATTCATAACTACTAAAATAAAATAGCGTCCTAGAGATGAATAAAATGCGGAGATCTACTTCCGAATCTGTTTTCACAGCATTAATAATAGTCACATGCTATTGCGTTGAAAGTGGCTTGACATGCACTGTATCGATCGACACGGTCTGTGATATCAAATCCCATTGTCTAACGTTTTCACGCATGATGCTGATCACCGCTTTCGGCGTGCGAATCAACACAGTCAATCACAAAATCCGAGCTGAATCATGCATATGCCAATGGATCACTCACGTTGCCCAAATACGGATAGTCTGTTTCCGATTCCAATCCAGCTGTTTTCAAGTATTTATACGAATTGGTCATAAGGCCTCCGTTACACCCGTGATTTCCGTATTTTCGACTGCAGTCGACCAATTGCTGTTCGGAGAATTCCAATTGTTGTCCGTAGCGTTTTGTGAACTGTCCTTCAATCACACCGGTCGTTGAGAACGCCCAGCACGAGCCGCAATTTTTCTACCGTGTGTCGGTGACGGACAGACAGAGGGAACAAAAAAGAGTACCGATTCTATTTGATCGATTAGCAAATTGGGCGAACGTTTATTTCTGAGTAGTGCTTTCGATTGCTCGTCTGATTTCTTAGTACTTTCATTTCACATATAGCATCATGCATGAGAACGAGGGAATGTTTTCCAGATGAGTAGCTCGGTGTTTGTGTACGGAGTCTATCTCAACTGAATCATCATCCAGAACAGGAGTATTGGATTGATTTTTTATTTTGAATTTTAGTTGCATCTAAAAAGCACTTCAGGGTAGAGAGAAGTCACAGACATGGGTTTGCAGTACGCAACTCACTACCGGTTACATATTCATGGTGACAAGTTATCAATTAATCATGTGGTCAGATTTGCTTGTTCATTGCACATCGTGCTTACGTAGAAACACGCACTCGCTAGCACCAATGTAACTGGCTTCAACGCAAATTGTATGTGAGGAATATGTTCGGTGCGCACATACAGATCAGTTGGCGATTCTTACGATATTCAACACTAAACAGGACATCTTTTCTTTGTTTTTATAAACGACTTAATGGACAGTCTGGGACCACAGACGTTAATGTTTGCAGACGATGCAAAAATATGGAAACCGGGAACAAAACCAGAGGACTCGCTAGCACTTCAGAGGGCACTTAAAGCCGCCTACCAAGGGTCGATCAAAAGTCACATGGAATTTAATGCATCAAAATGTACGGTCGTATCTCTTTGCCACAAAACTCGGTTTCCCGCACTTCCTGAGAGGTCAACAACTTCCGTATGTCTCCAATGAGAAGGAACTCAGTGTCATTGTTCAAGACGACCTAAGTTGTTCTTTAAATTGCTCCCGGGCGTCGTTCACTGCTGTAAGATATGCTGGTTTGCTGAAGCGAGTATTTGGCAAATTTGGACCTACGCTCTTTCCACAGTTGTTATCAGTCCACATTCGGCCCCACATGAAGTATGCAATTCAGGCGTGGAATCCATGGCTGCAACGCGCTCAGAAGATTCTGGAACGTCCACAGAGAATGGCCACCAAAATGGTCAAGGGACTACATTCCAAGAGTTACACGGAAAGACTGGCATCATTGCAACGGTACTCCACACGGCATTGCCGCATTCGAGGGGAATTGATATTGGTGTACCGAATAATGCAGGATCCAGATCACCCATGTCGCTCATTCTTTGCTTTGTCACCCAACACTCATCTGAGGGGGCACTCATTCAAATTAGTGTTCCAAATATGTAGACTAGAATGCCAACTTTATTCATTTGTCCCCAGAGTTTTCATTAATTGGAATTCTTTACCATCTCACATTGTTCGTGTGCCCACATTTGATTCCTTGAAGCACAAACTGGATGAAGCGTTGACAACTCTTAAATATCAGCATCCGTAGCAGTGCATGAAACAAGGATAAATTGTGACATTCCTCAATTTTCTATGAGCGGTGAATCGATTCATCTGTGCTAAACCCTATGGGACTAGAAAAGCAATCGCTTGTAAATATTTCCCATAATAAAACTTTGACTTTGAGTTTGAATGAATCAGGAGGGGATTGAACAGAATAGCCAACAGACCGTTTCACTATTTGACCACCTATCTAGAGTCCCATACGAAACGGTGAAATGGTTGTTTCGGATTACATGTTTCATCCTATGCAGCCCGATTCAACCTCTATCCATGCGTTTCTGACAACAATAAATTCCTCATTTCTCCACTGACATTGGAGATTTATGACATAAACCGCATAAATGTTACTAACTAATGATGTTTGGGGTCAAGTTTTCCAACAGTTTCAACTGGAATCGATCAGTGGTTTGAAATCTCAATGGTGGTTGTTATATTGTCATTCAAAGGAATACATACAATAGGCTTGTGTCATGTTCGATCGATTCGTCCGTTTCAGACAGACCATTATATGCAGATTTTTGCTTGTGACGCACAGTGATCGATGAGTAAATGTTAAGATGGATTTAGCACTGATGTTCGGTGATTAATCTTCGAATTCGCTCTTAACTAGCGCTCAATCAAGTCGGTCAGTAAGTCATTCAATCATTCACCATCGATTTAAAAAAGTGAAAGAAAAGTTTTCAACTGGTATCCTAAACAATTAATAATAATAGCTCTTCTAATTCCTCTTCACTTATTGAGCTCGATCAATTACTCGGGAGGGGGACTATGATCAAATAAAGACTGTCTGGCAAAACTAAGTGCCCATAACATTGATCTGTGACTAGTTGATCAAAACTTCCTGACTCGATCGATTGATTTTGTATGCTAATAAGTGAGCACACACGAGAAACCATATACAGATAACATTGAAATTTGAAAATAGCCACTTCCATGAGTGAACTTCCGATATAAACAAATATTTACATGTAGGATGATTTACGCCCTACGATTTCTCTGAGATTCTTTCTTCTTTGTTGTCTCTTTATTTCTGTTTACTCAATACATATATTTATGAATGCAAGCAGTTTTCAGGATGGAATGAGTGACCAACCGAAAGGCTACAGTCGAGCGGTGGTGGCAGTGGTGCTGGTGGTGGTGGTGGTGATGGTAGTGGTGGTGGTGGCGATGGTGCTGGTGGTGGTGGTAGTGGTGGTGGTGATGATGAGATTTAGACTTAGGCCTTCGTTATTACTGTTTTTGACCATATTAACCACTTCACCACAACCAACGTTAACAACAATAATGAATGCACAGATTGATCTTCACGATTCCAGTTTAACTTTTTACCAATCTCATTCAGTCAACAAGACCAAAAATAGACTTGGATAACAGATCGCTTCTCCGAGCAATAAGACGTTTGTCATTCATATTCATTCAATCCAACCTTAAAATTATAATTAATTTGGTCAATGACCCACGGGCAGGAATAATGAGAGCCAGAACATATACAAGGAGTAGCGACCTACCTGATCTTTTACACGACGAACCAGACCTTTTTGACGCCAGTCTACTGAATCGGGCGCTTCGTGCGACACGTAAATCGGTTCCTCGGTCCGGTTTCCTGCCGCACTTGTCCCTGAAACCCTGGGGTCCACCAGACCGGAACGATAGGTTGCAACAAATTCGGCCCAGGTCAAATCGGCAAATTCGTTCACTGCCATGCCATACTGTTCCAGACCGAGCTGATAGCGCAAATTATGGGCCTGGATAAATGCCACATTGTCAAGCCACGTTTCGAATCGATCCCCTTCTTCCCACTGTTCGTACGTTCTACCGTGCACATATTTCCAATGCTCCCAAACCTCGTTCACATCTACAAATCGATTGGCTGTCGTGCCGTACTGAACAAGACAAATGGTAATTAGCTGAATAGAAAAGAGCACTCTCAAACGGAACATTGGACGGACGGTGCACAACTAAGTGGATATGTTACAGACCAATGACGGATGCAATGCATGTTTGTCTTTATATATCGGCACGTATACGCTTGGACGTGAAGTCGGATCCATGTGCCCTTTGGACGCAAACGCAAAATTAAAAAAAACAATCGTTTACAGTTTGTGTATGCAAATGTGAAATGGAAATCCGAATAAATTTGTCATCTAAATTAGGCAGTGTTTCCAGTTTGATCAAATTCGGCTGACACGGGCCGTGTAGTGTCCGACACAGTTCCCGATCAGAAACGGCCTTCCGTGTGCATGCACATTCGTACCGTGCTTTACCACTCTTCGAGAAAGTCATGTGATTCACGTCTTGAAGTTCAGTCGCCAGCGTTAAGCGAATCGTGTTTAGTACCACTTTCGAAAATGACCTGGACAGTGGACATAGGTTTGTTTTTTCTCTCTCGATCTCGGACAGGAATCAGCTCAGATAGTCTACAATGAGAACCGACGAACAAATAACATGCGTGCGTTTAGACGGTTTCCAATTAAGCGTTTCTACACTCAAAGAGATAAAGTTAGATTTACCTGGATACATCCGCTCCGTTGCTCAAGTAGGTTATTACCAAATCCAGATCCATTGTCCTGTTTCGCTATGATAACTTCTGTGTTCCGTTGTAAATCCCTTGGCAATGAGGCCCTTCCCTAGGGCCCTTGATTGCAGATGTTTTCGTGTATAAAGTAGAAAACAGTCCGCTAGAAACACATATCGAACAATGCGCACTGTGAAAGCGTAACGTAGACGATATTTTGTACATGGACGATCTGGTCACGGACTTCCCACATATTCGAGATCATTGCAATGGCTGCGCATCTGAATTTGAAATTCAAGATGAAAAATGGAGCGAATAATTAACTAGCATATCTAGATGTTTGCCTAACTCGTTCTGATGACGGATTTATCAGCACACAGGAAGGTGAGATGGAGTGGGCAGTACATTCATTTCCGTACCTTTTCAGCACTCAGTATGAAAAAGAATCTCATACTCAGTTTGACCAATAGAGATGGAAGAATTTGCACGAAAGACATGCTGTTTGAAGAACTCTCAAATGTGAGGAATATCTTCATACAGAATGGATACCCTGAGCGCTTGATAGAATCTGTGCTTAAACGTTTCCCAAGAGAAGAATTCTGTATACATTTCTGTACCGTTCAAAGGCGACATCTTCGCAGATATTGTAAATAGAAGGCTATCAAATGCCATCATTGAAGCGATCTATGCAGGTTAGCTCTAAACTCGATTCATATCTAGCCTGTTGGTGTGATTGCGGTTGAAGGACAGAGTGTTCGATTCTGCTGCCTCTTTCTGTATTTACTCTTTCGCTTGCACCTGTGCAGCAAAGTATCTTTGCCGCACGACTAGGCGTGTCTGTCCGAGCACATCCGTGAGTATCATCGTGCGTAGTCAAGAGATGAAGAAATTAAGTCAATCACAAATTTGGTCGTGTGGCAAGTTGTCGACACTAATCACATTGTAAACGTGCGTGATGCGTTCCGACCCTTGTATAGAGTTCAAACGGGACGGTCTAGACACGTGCGGTTTCGCATTCAAACCACAACGCAGGCAGTTGGCATCCGTCCTGACAATCGATCTCTGTGGGCTCAGAAACAATTTGTACAAACAAATTCAAACTCCCATGGCCGGATTGCCGACAAGTGACTCGTCATGAAACATTATAGCAAATGATAATTGGGGACCGATTATAATACAAACTGTTGAATGCACTTCAAAATGGTTTTCATAGCCGACCCACTTTTGAACGATATGCGTCAAAAGTTGACGTCACTTCCAGTCTATTAGAACGGAATTCCAACCACGAGACTAATGCAGAATATTGTTACGGGCCCGTAATCCAGCACAGTAAATGAGAACACACAAGAGAACATGCTGTTCGGAAACGGATTCACGAGATAATGAATGATTGTGAGAACACATCAATCGATTAAACAATGACCCAAAACTAGGTCAAGTTGGCTCACGAACACAACCGATTGAAAGGCTATCAGTCACTGTCTGTCATGTACAACTGTATCACGTGTGTGGATGATCAGGGGGAACTGACAGACGAATGAACACGTAACAACGGGAAATCAAGCAGTGGTAGTAACGAACTTTGCAAGACTTCAATGAGACAAATGATATTGGGTCAAATAATATGGTACCTATCTATCACCATAGATGCTTCGCCTACAGGATTCGAATCTCGGATCCATTCAACTGACACAAGTCAGTGATGGCAACTTTGAGCCAGTCGACTGCCCTCAAGCCCCTAAGAGCCTCTGATTAATGCAGCTAGCATCCCCTTACTGACAAAGACAAACTGGTAAAACTGAGTTGTGGATGAGTCTTTATCTCTGTCTTTACCATTCGCTTTTCGTGTTTGTTCTTCTATAGCGGTATATTGAGTGTACTTTACTGAACTATAGGCCTAGCTTCTTTTAAAGGACTGATCATAATGCAATATAATTTACCAATCAAGGACCACCATACACTGAAGAATTCCACTCATTAAAAATTGCCAATAGTATGGATTTGTTACGAGCTACAGCCGAAATATTTAGCAGGATGTTGTCACATAAAGTCATTCCGTCTGTCCGAACATCACGGTGGTGCTTATGCATAAGCCGTAATGATTCCGGTCCACATGTACCAGGGATATTCGTACTTGGATCACGCTGCAGGAAAAATGGGCTATCGGCTTGTCCCAGTCATTGATTAAAACAGACTGGCACTGCATCACCCAATGGAAAAACGAGTAAACTCGTTCTACTAAACCAGTGCTTCATGATCTGATAGCACGATGACAACCAATCCTTTTGGTCAACAGGCTTCAGGATAACGCGCCCAATTATAATGCCCAATGCTTGACCGAAATGAAAGGACGACTCGCGGAAAACCGTGTTTGATGACTGACTACTTGTGAGTAGCCAATTTTAATTTGAAATCGGTGCTCGGATATGAAAGTGAAATTCGTCATGATCAAACCTGTCTGATACTGTTTTCAGCAACTGAACATTGCATACCAAACCATTCTGACACTCTGTTTCTCTTCCACTTATGTGTTGTTCATCGAGCCTGATCATTTCGAATCTCCACCCATCAATAACACTGACGACATTATGTTCAGTATTCAAAAAAGAACGATGAGTTCCACAGAGATCAGTAATTGCTCTTCAAATTTTTCTAGGTAACATAAACTTCATAAGGGACTTTACGGGACCACAAACGTTAATGTTTTCAGACGATGCATAAATATAGAAAACGGTAACACGATTTTGAGACTCATTCGCACTTCAGAGAACAATGAATCAAAATGTAAGGTCGTATCCATTCGCCACAAAACTCAGTTCCCCCACTTCGGGGGATTTCAACAACTGCCCTATACTAGAATCCAATGGATCTCGGTATCATCGTTCAAGAAGACTGAGGTTTTTCTTGAAACTGCTCCCAGGCGTCGTCCGCAACTGTGAGACATGTTGGTTTGCTAAAACCAATTTTTGGCAAATTTGAACCTGTCCTGTTCGGGCGACTGTCATCAGCTGACATTCGACCCCACAGAATACGCCACCTAAGCAAGGATCAAATTCATGGCTGTAGTGCGATCGTAATATTTTGGAACGTCCACGAATAATGTTCACCAAGATGGTCAACGGACTGCGTTCCAAGACCTTCGTGGAAAGACTGAAATTATTGGGGTTGGTAATTTTAGTTCAGTTTTTACAACCATCAACCATGAGAGCAGAGTCAAAGGATAGATAATTCACATGGACAAAGGTTGTAAGGATAATGAACAAGTGCACGAGTACTACTGTTTGCAACACTCACTCATATCATTCATTTGCTGTACGATGGCCCCGGGATCCCCAACCAGGGAGCCTTACAGGACCTATACCACCGAGTCTCCCGACCACAGTCTTTATACCTTCATCTCAGGTCTGATTTCGACCACCCTTGGCTTTATTCCACCCATTACCTATCTCGGGGAACATCGCTCGCTGTGGCCACCTATTTGGTGACATGCGTAACACATGCTCCAACCAACGTTATTTTTGGAGGTCGATCACTTGCTCCAGTGGGCGACCGCGATCACCTAAAACTCTGCGCCTAACCTCAGCATTACTCGTCCGGCTGCCCCATCAGATTCGTGCAATGCTGAGTAGACAGCGGTGTCCAAATACCGATAGTCTGTCTGTATCCTGTTTTCTTAATGGTCAAGTTTTTGCACCGTGATAATTTCTCTGGAATCGACCCTATGCTTTTCACTACTCGTCAGAGTGTGGTGTTATCATGGTCTCGTACGTCAAGTAGGAACCGAACCATGACCTCAATCAAGTCGTGATGACACACAGTGGCAATACACATCACGTGTGCAAAAAAGATCATCGGAAATTATTAGAATTGACCTTTTTCCCCATTATCCCTTTCTTTCGTGTGCTCCCGTCGAGATTGACACATGTTGTTCTTTTCCATTTAATCAGAACGGACCAATCACGTTTATTTCTACATCCGGTATAAACATATCATTGTAAATGGTTGAAAACAAATTGACCGAAAAGCTTATTCCCTACATATTATTGATGCAATGAAAAAACAAGCAAATAGTTTAATAGAATTCAACACATTATTTCCTTTGGGCAGTTCTTTGAATGAAAAAAAAGTGATAAACACGGTTGTCTACTGCGGATTTCTGATCAAAATGGAATTTCTGCTCAGATTCCTCATATCTCCGTTTTATTCTAAAAGGAAATTTTTTTTATATAAAGTACCTGGAACAGTCTATCCACAGTGTTCATCTAATATTCAAATTTTCTCTTATTTTGCATCCACTAGAATGTACCATCTGTCCGTTGAACATCAGATTACCACCGGCTCTGCCCCAAGCGGCTCCAGACATTCATGGCAATCATGGTCCCTTGTGAGCAGATATAATCAATCCTGTGACTATAGTATTTGTTC